TCGAGACCATCCTGGCTAACACAGTGAAACCCCGTCTCCACTAAAAAATACAAAAAAATTAGCTGGGCGTGGTGGCGGGTGCCTGTAGTCCCAGCTACTCAGGAGGCTGAGGCAGGAGCATGGCGTAAACCTTGGAGACGGAGCTTGCAGTGAGCTGAGATTGTACCACTGCACTCCAGCCTAGGCAACAGAGTAAGAGTCCATCTCAAAAAGAAAAAATTGTAAATGGCACAAACAAATGAAAAGACATCCCATGCTCATGGATTTGAAGGATCAATGTCATTAAAATGACCATACTGCCCAAAGCAATCTACAGATTCAGCACAGTTCCTATCAAATTACAAACATCATTTTTCACAGAATTTAGAAAAACTATTCTATAATTCATATGGAACTAAGAAAGAACCCAAATAGCCAAAGCAATTCTAAGTAAAAAGAATAAAGCTGGAGGTATCATATTACCTGACTTCAAATTATACTACAAGACTATAGTAACCAATTAGCATGGTACTGGTATAAAAACAGATACATAGATCAAAGGAACAGAATAGAGAACCCAGAAATAAAGCCACATAGCTACTCAACAGATCTTTGACAAAGTTGACAAAAATATACACCAGGGAAAGGACACCCTATTGAATATATGGTGCTGAGAAAATTGGATAGTCACATGCAGAAGAATGAAACTAGACCCACATATCTCACTGTATACAAACATTAACTCAAGATGGATTAAGGACTTAAATGTAAGATCCCAAACTACAAAAATCTTAGAAGAAAACCTAGGAAAAAACTCCTATGGAAATTGGCCTAGGCAACGCATTTATGACTAAGTCCTCAAAAGCAAATGCAACAAAAACAAAAAAAAGGCAAACGGGACTTAATTAAACTGAAACTTTTCTTCACAGCAAAAGAAATAATCAACAGAGTAAACAGACAACCTACAGAATGGAAGAAAATGTTGGCAACCTATGCATCTGACAAAGAGCTAATATCCAGAATCTACAAGGAACTCAAACAACTTAGGGGAAAAAATCAGCTCATTAAAAAGTGAGCAAAGGACATGGACAGACATTTTTCAAAAGAAGACATGCTAGCAGCCAAAAACCATGAAAAAATGCTCAACATTACTAATCATCAGAGAAATGCAAATTAAAATCACAATGAGAAACCATCTTACACCAGTCTGATTGACAGAGATTGAGACCATCCTGGCTAACACGGTGAAACCCCATCTCCACTAAAAAATACAAAAAAATTAGCTGGGCGTGGTGGCGTGCACCTGTAGTCCTAGCTACTCGGGAGGCTGAAGCAGGACAATTGCTTGAACCCAGGAGGTGGAGGTTGCAGTGAGCGGCCGAAATCACGCCACTGCACTCCAGCCTGGCCACAGAGCAAGATTCTGTCTCAATAAATAAATAAATAAATCAGTCAAAAAATAACAGATGTTGCTGAGGATGCAGAGAAAAAGGAATGCTTACACACTACTGATGAGAATGTAAATTAGTACAACCTCTATGGAGATTTATCAAAGAGCTAAAAATAAAATAGCCATTTGATTCAGCAATCCAAATAGTGAGTATCACCCCAAAGAAAAAGAAATCATTATATCAAAAAGACATTTGCACTCATATGTTTATCTCAACACTATTCATAATAGCAAAGGCATTGAATCAACTTCAATGTCTGTCAATGGATGAATGAATAAAGAAAATGTGGGGTGTGTTTGTGTGTGTGTGTGTGCGTGTGTGTGTGTACACCGTGGAATACTATTCAGCCATTAAAAAATGAAATCATGGTGCGATGGCTCACTTTGGGAGGCCGAGATGGACAGATCACGAGGTCAGGAGTTCAAGACCAATCTGGCCAACATGATGAAAGCCTGTCTTTACTAAAAATACAAAAATTAGCCAGATGTGGTGGCATATGACTGTAGTCCTAGCTACTTGGGAGGCTGAGGCTGAAGAATCGCTTGAACCCAAGAGGCAGAGGTTGCATTGAGCCAAAACCGCACATTGCATTCCAGCCTGGGCGACAGAGCAAGACTCCATCTCAAAAAAAAAGAAAAATGAAATCATGTCTTTTACAGCAACATAAGCGGAAATAGAGGCCATATTCCTAAGTGAAATGACTCAAAAACAGAAAATGAAAAACTACATATTCTCACTTATAAGTGAAAACTAAACAATGGGTACACATTGGCGCACAGAGTACAATAATAGACATCAGAGACTTCAAAAGGTGGGAAGGTGAGAGCAGGATTAGGGACAAGATGTTATTTAATGGGTACCATGTACACTACTCAGGTGATGAGTACACTGAAAGCCCAGACTTCACCACTGTGTAATAGATCCATGTAGCACAATATATCCATGTAGCCCCTAAATCTATAAAAATGAAAAAAAAAAGTGAAATAGAGCTCTGAGCCATGACAATTCTCAGTGTGAACTCTCAGTGCAAAGACTGGGGCTCACTGTGGCTTTGGCATATAAGGCAAAGTGTCTCTACATTGTTGTCATGGTAACCAAGAGAGGCTGCATCTGCTGACCAAGATGAGCTAAAAATAAGCACAAAGATCTTTTCCCGTTGCTTTGCATGTTCCTTACATACTGGAAGAAACAGACATTTGGCTGGGTGCAAAGGAGGGTAGATGTAGGGTAAGCATTATGTCTGGGGATCACCTCTGGTCACACTCAGCTGAGTCAAATGTTGGATTGGAAGCTGGGTCAATCAAGCATATGCAGGCACTAAAATGATGCTTGAGACTGAGACTTTGTCTTCCATGTCAGATGCTCTCTTTCAAATACTATGCAATGACCCTACTGCCCAAAGCATCCACTTACCTGTGAAGGTACCCATGAAGGTAATGCCCAGGGCAATGTCTTCGTAGCCAGGAGTGGAGGAGCCTTGGACATTCCAGCCCACCCCTTCATAAATGGCGCCATCCTGGCCCACCAGGAAGCTAGAGGACCACAAGGGGAGATGGAGACCAGCATGAAACTCTGGAATCGCTTCTCTCTTTCATGTATTAATTTATTCATGTCTTTACTGCTTCAGACTTTGATTATCTATTGGATTCTAAGCACTGGGTTACAGAACAAGACAGAGTCCTTGCCAATGAAGTGCTGGTAAACTAACCCAGGGGGAATGAGGGAGGCAGAGTAAGGAGAGGGAATCCCAGTTTACAGCATATACTGATTTCTGTGGTGTAAACCTCTCACTATAGCAGATTTCAGGTGATCAACAATTTAACAACAACCAGCTCTCAAAATTCCAGAATCTCTAACAATCAGCTCTCATGAGCTGGCATGAGTCCCCTCGACTCCAGCACACCACTGCAGCCCCCAAGTAGCTCACAGTCAATAAAGAAAAAAGAGAATGACAGCTTTCAATCCCTACGCCTTTTCTCCTTTGACCAAGAAAACAGTTTTCCCCAAGGTGACCCAGGATCTCCTTACCATTAAGTACAACGTAAACTTCCCCAATCTTTCCTGACTTGATCTCTCTGTAAGTTTGACTCTGCCACCCCTCTTGACTTTTCCAAACATTCTCTTCCCTTAGCTTCCATCACACCACATTCTCTTGGCTTTCTTCTCCAGTTGCTCTCCCTCAACACCTCATCTTCCTGCACCCTTTCCTTAAATGTGGGGTTCCTCAGGATACTATCCTAAGCCCTCTTCTCCCCTTACTCGACACAGGACTAACCCATCCACTTCCTTGGCTTCAGTTGCCATCCATGAAAGTCCACATGTTCACAACTGGACCCATCTTCTTCCTCACCTGTTCCCCTTTCTGGGATCCCCATCTTGGTGAAAGGCATGGTCACACACCCACTGGCCCCAGCCAGGAATACAGGCATCAGCCCACCCACTTCATCCACTCATTAACTCAGGCTTGTCAATGATGTCTCCCAACTACACTCCCTGATCTGCCCTGTGCCCTGGTCACTAACCATTAACCTCCACTGACCTCTGAAATTCCTCCACTTCTCTCTGTGACCTCTGCTACCATCACAGGGATGTCACCACTTAGTCCTGCCTGGATTGCTGCACAGTCCTCAGATCTCACTGCCTCCAGTTCCACCCTTTCCCATCCAATCTATTCCTAAAGGGTAGCCAGACTAGTCTTTCTAAAATACAAATCTTACTGTGTCAAAACCCTGTTTTCAGTCCCTCAGCACTGAGTGCACACACCCCAACTTAAGTTACAAGAGCCTTCTGACATGGGCCCTGTCTGCCTCCCCAGCATCAGCTCTCCCACACCCCTCTTTGACATCTGTATTTATCCTGATGAACTTCTCTCAGCTGCCTAAAGGCACCTTTCTCAGGCTGGAATTCAGTCCTTTCCACGGAGCCCTTTCCCTCTTCCTGAATCACTCTTCCTGCTTCCTCCTCCCACTCACCTGTGAGGCCCCAGCTAATCTGATGCTCCCACAGAGATTGCTTCCTTCACTCCAATTTTCCTGGCATCCTAAACCTCCCATCTACCCTTCATGTGTCCCCTATCATAATGTTAAACCTACCCTACTAGAACTTATTTGTTTGAATTATTTTTTTTCCTCACTAAAGCATTGGCTCCATTCAGGCAAGAACCGTATCTGTGAGGCACATCCAATGGCACCCCTAGAGGACAGCCTTGTGCCACGCCGAGTACACATTCAATTACATGTTCTGTGAATTGTAATCTATGAGGCAGGGAGTGTGTCATCCCGACCACAGAGCACCTCAAGAAAAAAAAATGACACTGTCATAATGCTATAATAGAAGAGGATACAATACAAGGTCCAAGTCAAGGGACAGGCAACTACCCTCTGAGACCTGAATGGAAAAAGGGAAAGGACCTCCCTTCAGCCTCCACCACTTTCCAGTTTAGGCTTTCCAAATTTACAGTCAATTTTCAACTATCCACTCTCATTAAAGACAGCTACGCTGCAAGTAATCCTGTATGGTGGGACCTAGCAAAGCACTTGGTAGTTTCTGATACGTCATAGATGTTAGAGGGAAAGTTTTCTCCTGTCTTGAAAAGGGTGTTACTAAAATGGGGACAGAGAACAGGGAGGCCAGAGAGGGGAAAGACAGTCAGCCCAGAATCATGTACCAAGCGATGGTAAATTCATCACTAAGCCATAAATGGCCCTAGAGTTAAGGGCTCCTTCTATGAATGTGCATCAATATGCCAAATGGGCAAGCAGTAGCCTTTCCTGAGATTTAAAATTCAGTGTGATTGTTCCTGATGGGATATTACATGGGGTCTAACCCCGGATGTCTTATCTGCAAGCTCTGAAAGCATCCTTCAAGAAATTTCTACTTGTTTTGTGGATTATTTGTTTTGTGGACTATCTGTTTTGTGTGTTTGTGTGGCAGTTTTTAAAATCAGTACTTTTTAATGGAAACATCTTGATCAGAAATGTATCACAGGATTTTGAGACCCTTTAAGATAATGTTTAATGGGGAAAAAAAAGAAATGTTTACTCTTGCACTTAGGTTGGTGTGTTCCTTATTAAAGAATCACAGACTTTAGCACTACAGAAATCAGAAGATAGTATCTGGTCTCTCCCCTGCCTTCAGACAGGAAGGATATTCTTCCCAAGGAGGTTGGTGGTTTCTAGAAACAGAGAAGCAGCACGAGTCTACCCTGAGGAGGAACCGCTTCAGGTTGTGGCAAAGTGAGCAGCAGAGCCCCAGCCTCTGAGTAGCAGGCGGTGGTTACACAAACAAAGCACAATCTTTCAATTATCTTTTCTACAAGTACCACAGTCTTGCATGCGTACTGCTTCCTCCAGTGACTTTTTGGCAGAGTTTTAGCATCCATCATGCCAGTTTACTACCTTTAGTAGGTACACATCTTGAGAACATGTTTGGGCAAATGACTACCCCCTTGGCTATCTCCTAAGTAAGACCCACGCAGGGCTGTGTGATGAATCCATTTGGTTATCCATACAGTGCCTCTCCTATGGTGACTACCCAGTAAATAAATATTAGTTCCCTTTCCTCTTCCTTTCAAAGGTTCAGTTTCTGCCCCCAAAGGAAGAGAAGCCCACAGTACCCAGACCCACTTACTTATACCCAATGTCGCACGACTTGAGCCTGTCTATGTAGAAAGACTGGATGTCCCGGACCAGCAAGCGGCACTCATCGGAAATGTTGCAGGTCCTCCCGGCAGTGTGGATAATGATGCCATACTTCGCTGGCAGGGTCATCCTGGGACAGTGGGTCTCCCTGGCCCCCCACGCAGACCGTGGGACAATGCTGGGGCAAGCTGAGGTAGGGCGAGAAACCACAGATGGTTCATCTTCCCCATCCATGCCAGCCACTTCTCCACTGTAGGCTGACATAATGCTCAGGACCCTCAACTTCCCAAACCCTTCTGGGTCTCCCACCCTGACCCAAACAGTGGGACTTGAGAGCAGACAGTGTCCCACAGTGGGAAATGGACATTTTATTCTAAGAATATGTCTTTGGGTCATTTGTAATCCATGAAACTCTCTGTCAGTGTAAGCGATCATTTATATTGACAGATGGCACCAGAGATCAAATTTACTCAAGGCTTTAACATAATAGAGATGAATCTTCTTTCAATCTTGATTAAGCTCAAGAAAAGGCTGAAAGTGCTTATTAAATTTACTGGTTTTGATGTTGCTGCTTGTCAAACCCAAAATAGTATCCAGCTTTTATTATCTGAATTATGTTAAGCTCTTTCTTTAAAGTCTGTATAAGTGGTGGTCTAAGTTTTCTGCAGCACTTCAGTCTATTAGTGTTGTTTTGGTTTTTGTATTCAGAAATGTGTGTCAGTGTGTGTGTGTTCATGTGTAAACATATCAATGTACAAATACGTGTATAAATACATCCAGTCCCTTTCCATTGTTCCCTCCCTTGCACTTTTCTCCGTATAACATACCAAATATGTCACTTATCTATTTGCTTATTGTCTTTCTCTGCCCTCTAGACTGAAACTTCATGAGGCCAAGGACTTTTGCTTTTCATTCCTTCGTATATTTTCAGAGTCTAGAAGGTGTTCAGTAAATGCTTGTTGAGTGACGGAAGAAAGGAGTGTGCATATATGACACCAGGGATAATGCTCTGGCTCTTTCATATGAGGAATCTGGGGGATAAAGAGGTGGCCTGGAGGTTTCCTCTCAAGATTTGCCAGCCCCAAGAGTTCAAAGAGTTGGGTGGCCTGTTGCCTACCAGAAGGAATCTAATGAGCCCTACTGAAAAGGTCACTCCCAATGGTGTTTACAAGTTAGTTGGGGTGAACCCAGCAGCAGGCCCAGTAGGGTTGAAGGTCTTACCTTTCTTCAGGCTCGCCTTCTGTCGAGGGGCCAGGCAGTTCTCACCTTTCACAAGAAGTGGCTGAACATAGTTGGATGACAGGTGGCCCTTCTGGACAGCATAGGAGATTAGGTTTTCCATGGCTGACAGGGCAGCAGGGCTGGGACTGTGGCCTGGAAGAGAGAAATCTGTGGGAAACCTCCACCCAGCCTGAGTAGTTTCAGGGGATCTTTTCGGGGAGGAGGAGATGTTCTGCCAGCCCCTGCACAGCTGATGGAGAGGAAGAAAAGGGAACAGGTTATGCCCCCAGTTGGAGAGGCTGAGAATTAAGGATATGCCTGGAAAGATCTCTCAGAGACTCAAAATGAAGTCGTTTTCCATCCCAAATACCTGCCAAACTTCACCCCCTCTCTCCATGAAAGAGCTCAGAAGCAGCACCAAGCTCAGCAGCACCCGCCAGGCCAGGCCGGAGTTTCTCATCAGAAGGGGACCCCTCCAGGTATGTGCCAGACTCTTTGCCTACAATAACTCATTTAATCCTCAGCACAAACCTCTGAGAGATGCTGTTATTAACTGCATGATTTGTGAAGAGGAACTTGAGGCTCTAAGAAGTAACACGCTCAAGATCCCAAGTTAACAACAAATGGAAATGAGTAGTCATGAAAACAAAAGCAAAAACAAGATAAACACAGAGTCCTCTGGAACGCTGGGGAAACCACCCAGGAGCTGGAGATAAAAGATACGGACCATGTTCTGATTCCTCTCCTTCTAGCTGTGCCACTTGGAGTCATCGACCTCTCTGAATCCCAGGCTGCACCTCTGCACAGCAGGGGTTATTAAATCTACCTGGACTATCTCAAAGAGTACTGGGAGAGGAAAATGAGAAACTAGGTATGCAAGATCTCTGTTAACAGCAAAGGGTGCACAAATTCAAAGGAATGGTCCTGGAGTACGTATGTTAGGATGCATGTGGCAAGGGGCCTTGGAGCAATAGCCCAGAAAGAAGTGAAAGAGAGTCAGAGATTAGAGGACTCAGAGTTGTTTTTTTTTTAAGAAATATATAGAAAATCTAGTAGTAAAAGACGAAAGGAAGAGGTGCCTGGCAGGAACTTGAAAAGCATGGCCCCCAGTCACAGAATGGTCAGCGCTCAAGAGGAAGATGTGATAGTCATTGACGTAGAGGAGAGAGCTGAAGCCCAGATAAGCTTGCAGAGAGATGACTGGTTAGCCATCGAGATGGCTAGAGGAAGAGGAGCCTGTTTACAGGGGTTGAGAAGGACGCCAGGCTAGTAGGAAGAGACCCTTCACAACATCATTTCCTGGAAATCGAGGAAGAAGAGAATTCCAAGAGAGAGTGGGTCTTCAGAGAAGTATGAGAAGGATAAGAAGACAGCAGAGTAGCAGACAGCTACTTCCCATGAAGTGGCTCCTGAGACAAAGGATTAGAGAATTCTTTGGAGAAGGTCAGCTGTGATAACTGTTACCTTTCTCAGTGCCGAAGAAGGCAAAGCCCAGGGAGATGTTGTTGTAGCCTTGGGTGTGCACTCCTTGGATGTTCCAGCCAACACCTTCATACACCCTGCCATCATCCCCAACCAGGAAGCTATGGAGCAAGATAATACTGGTTTCATGGCTGGCACTGTAGGACATTCCTCAGAGGGGAAACCACTTACCCAGCCTCAAAATGGAGAAGGGCTGAAGCCAGGTTCACTAAAAGGAATTTGTACGAACTCTTCCCAGACACTGGAAAGAACAAGTCATTTATACTAGTCCTTAGAATTCAGAAGGAACCACTCTCACACTCCCTACCTCCTTCCCTTTCCAGAGGCTGCAGTTTTACCATAAATCATTCTACATACTCAGGAGAAGAGGTCCTAGAGGTTCCACAGTAACTAACACTGACCTGACCACACAATGGAAGGGTCTTCTGTCTTCCACACTTCCTTATACGTGGCTCTCCTACCTCCTCCAACGTGTGTGCTGTCTGTGTGATCCATGCAGAGCTGTTCATTCGATTTCTCCCTGTCAAGTAACTGTCCTACATAGACTTCCCAAGAAGTAGCTCCTGAGACAAGGACGAGGATGCAGGCACTTTATTTGCAAAGGGACCTGACAGAGCAGGAGCACCATCATCTCGGACAAACACCACCACTTTAAGTTCCAGCTCCCTTTCTAGCCTCGTGTATTTCAAGGAAATCACTTCTCTTCTAACAACAAGCAGCCAGAAAGAGCAGACAGTAAAACACAGATAAGACAGCTCAGGCACAGAGGGAGGCGGGGGGAAAGTCTCTTGGGTAACTGCCAAACTTCACCCTCATACAACTGGCCCCAGTAAAACAGTGGGCCTTAATAAGCACGTTCCTTTCCCTTCAGGTGCACTAAGATATGGAAGCTAAAAGCAGACTGGGGGGCAGTGGGAGTATGCCTGCAGCTGAAGAAAGATGTATGGGAACAGACACACAACTCTCCCTCCCAGATAAGCACAACAAAGACACAGAAGCAGTCCAAGCCTCTGATAAACTCTCCCACCCTGAATCCTTAAAAACTCTTAGTCTGTAAGAGAGTGGGCTCTGACCTAACTTGGCCAGAAGCCTCTCTCAGTTTTGTTTTCTCTGAAATAAACCTGCCCTTGACTGTCAAGTCACCTTTCATGTTTCTTTCATCTGTCTTCAATTCTTGCAGGATCCCAGAAGCCAGGGTGAGGAGAGTGAGACAGAAGGAAGAAAGCCAGCAAAGTGTGTGAAATTGGGCTGACTCACAGGGGCCACCCGCAGCTCCACCCCACCCTTTGGCCTTCCCAGGAGCTGTGTACATGTGCTTTAGAACTGCCTCTCAGAAGTGCTAGGGTTGAGGAAGCTACACACCAATCACTGTCCCCCACGAAGGCATTTACTCCCTTTTGTCGTCAGGGGCTGGGGGAAGGTCTGAAGCAGGAAAGCAGAGAGATGTGTTGGACACTTGAGGCAGGAAGCCATCACCACACTCAGGAACTGTCCACAGCTAGTCAAAGTCAGAGGTGAGCCAGAAGCATGTGGTATGGACACCAGTAGAAACTACTAGAGAGATCATTACAGCAACTGATGGACAGTTGCCTCACTGAGACCGGAGCCCATGCGTGTGGTGTGGAGGAACACACCAGGGATGAAGAGAGCCAGTTTAGGCTCCATGAGTCCACAGATGTGTGACCTCAAATTAATCAGCCTCCCTCCCTTGGGCCCCTCTCCCAGGGCAAAGAGATGGTGACACCTGCCTACCAGTCGGGGGAGCTAAAGCCCTCATGTATGCAATCTGTGGTGTGCTGTGTAAGCCAGGGTTGGGGGAGGGTAGAGAATACAGTTATTACTTAACCTTCCTTGCTTCCTTCCGGGAGCTCTCAGAGACAGGCACCTCACAGAAAAATCCAAAGGATTGGGAGTTTCATGAGGGTTTTAAATATTTTATTCATTATAAAACATATATGACCACAACCCAGAAAATGAGGAAAAGGGATGAGAAGGGACAGGAGAAGCATCCCAGGGAAGCAACACTGACCATTTGCCTTGGGACCCAGACCCAGCCTCTTACTTGTAGGCCACGTCACACCCGCTGTTGTTGTGGACATGATGGGCCTGCAGTTCCCGCAGTCTCTGGCTGCAGACTCTCTGGTCGTGACACTCCAGTCCAGGGACATGGTGTATAACAAGGACATTCACTGGCGTGGTCAGCTGAATACTGCAGCCAACAGCTTCTGCCCCCCATGCCTTGCGAGAGACCGGGGTGGAGGCATCTGTGGGGAGGCCTTGGAGACATCATTCAGCGCACCTGCCCCATCACTACCACATTAGTGGGCCAAGCTGAACATGCAGGCATGGGCTGTGTCGGCCCCATGGTAGTGGAAGAGCCTGAGAAGGAAGCCTTCAACAGGCAGGTACACCTGCCCTGCTCACCTCTGCAACCCCATCTCTCCAACACTCACCCCCAACACAGACTCTGCACCCAGCCAGGGAGCCTAGTGCTTTGCTTCCCCATCCCAGAATGTCCCCTACTCAGCTCCTGCCCTGCTGTGTTCCAGGCCCTGCACTTCAGGAAGCATCACTTGCTTATCCCTGGGGAAAGCCCTGAACAGCCTGGCTTAGTGTCACCTCAGCATTCATTGTATGCTCTCTGATCATTTCGTCTGTGGCTCTGAGTGTTCCCTGAGGAGACTGCATCTTCTCCCCTCAGCAGGGGCTGTGTCTCCCCTTCAGTCTGAGGACTCCCTGAGAGCAAGATTTGGGTCTCCCTCCACAGGGGGTCCCTGTCTGAAGAGGCTGTTTCCCCCCTTCCTGGTTTTCTAGCCCTCCAGCACCAGCCTTCCATTCCACGGACCTAGGGCAATTAATGCAGGTGGTTTACTGGTACTGCTCTCTGCACCTCAACCCCATTTGCCGCCTCCCCAGTCGCATGTGGCTCTGCAGACCTCAGAAACATTTCCGATCACATGAAAAACCCCAGCTGGTCCCCAAACCCCCTTACTATCCAGATCCAGTTTACCTTTTTCAGTGAGCTGAGGGATGTTCCCAAATGGGTCCTGAAGCCCCTCTGATACCTGTTTAGCTTGTGTTTTGTTCCAGGAGGAATCACCTGCAAAGGAATATCCCATTTTGCATCAGAGAGCACCAATACCAGCCATGGTGGTGGCGCCAGCTCTGAACAGAAACAGCCATCCCCTCTCCACTGCTCCTCTGCCTCCTCAAATCCCAGAGCCCCCTCTAAGAAATCCCTCTGGGCTGACCAGAGGGCCACCTCTAATAGAGCAAGTGCCATAGTTTCTTCCCACGCCAACTCTGGGCAATCCCCTGGGATAGGCAGGGAGTTGGAAATGTTATCGTTTTCTCATGAGCTGTATCTACACACACAATTGGCAAAAAAAAAAAAAAAAAAAAAAAATGTATTCAGACACTTCAAAACCACAAAGTCCTCTCCTGTGTGCGTTATTTTACCGAAGCAATGGGGAAGCGTGTGTGGAGAACGGGTTAGAATTACCTGCGTGGGTCAGACCAGTTTCCCCAGGATTGATTTTAGGGACATGTGCTGTGCCCATTCTCCTGTCTGAAGGCCCATGGGGGATGGGCAGGGTGTGTTGATTGAGACCCTTACCGGCAAGGAGCTTTCTCTTATTGACAAGCACAAACCCAAGCCATGGGTTGAACTCTGATTAACGTCATAATAATACAAATGCAATCCTTGCTCCTGCTTATCTGCTTTTACTGCCCATGTATTGCTATATCTTCAGGTGCATTATCTCATTTAATCCTCACAGTGAGTTTAGGAAGTCATAACTTTCTCAATTTTCAGGTGGGAAAATAAAGCATTATAGAGCTGAATCGCTCGTTTAAAATCATTCCTAGAGGCAGAGCAAGGACTTGAATCCAGGTCTATAGGCTCCAAGTTCTGTGCTCTACCTACGATCTATTCTTTTGCCTTAAGAGACAGTAGGTTTTTATTTTGGTGGGGGGGTTGTTTTGTTTTGGTTTTTGTTTGTTTGTTTGAGACCGAGTCTCACTCTGTCACCAGACTGGAGTGCAGTGGCGCAACCTCGGCTCACTAAAACCTCTGCCTCCCAGGTTCAGGCGATTCTCTCATGCCTCCCTCCTGAGTAGCTGGGACTACAGGTGTGCACCACCATGCCCAGCTAATTTTTGTATTTGTAGTAGAGATGGGGTTTCACCATGTTGGCCAGGATGGTTTCGATCTCTTGACCTCATTATCCATCCACCTCGGCCTCCCAAAGTGCAGGGATTACAGGCATGAGCCACCATGCCTAGCCAAGAGAGAATAGGTTTGTTTTGTTGTTATTGTTGTTGTTGTTTGTTTGTTTGCTTTTGTTTTTGAGACAAGTTCTCGCTCTGTCACCCAGGCTGGAGTGCAGTGGCACAATCTCTGCTCACTACAACCTCCACCTCCCGGCTTCAAGCAATTCTCCCACCTCAGTCTCCCCACCGAGTAGCTGGGACTAGAGGCACATGCCACCACACCCAGCTAATTTTTGTATTTTTAGTAGAGACGAGGTTTCACCATGTTGGCCAGGATGGTCTCAATCTCTTGACCTCGTGATCCACCCGCCTCGGCCTCCCAAAGTGCTGGGATTACAAGCGTTAGCCACCACCCCTGGCCAAGAGAGAGTAGGTGTTTGTTTGTTTGTTTGTTTGTTTGTTTTTGAGACAAGTTCTTGCTCTGCCACCCAGGCTGGAGTGCAGTGGCGGGATCTCGGCTCAACGCAGCCTTGAACTCCTCAGGCTCAGATGGAGAGTAGGTATTTTTTAAATTCCTACTACGAGACTTTAGGATCACCCTTCTTGGTTGCTCTTTGGCCCAGGGAAAGAAAACTTACCCCAGGCCTGGAGACCCAGAGCAGAGAAGACAAGAAGCCACGGCAGCATCCCCACGTGGTCCCAGGACACCAACCCGGAGAGTGTGGATGGCAGCCTGAGACAGATGTTGACAGTTGTTAACATGACCATGCTCAATCTGCAGAGTGTCCCCCACTCTGACTACAGGGAGTGCCGTCCGCCTCCTCTACCATCCTGTGGCCTCCTGAGGGCCAGCACCTGGCTCAGGCTTCTCAGGGCCCCCAGCACACAGCAGGTGCTCAGCATCCCTGTCCTATTATTACCCCAGCAACTGAATTTCATCACGTGCCCACTGTGTGCAAGGCCTGTGTACACACTTGCACATGCAGTCTTATTTAATTAGTCCTCATCCTAATCCTGTCACGTAAGACTGTTAACCCCCATTTTTATAGACAAAAGAAGTGAGATCCAAGAATGGTACAACCGAGAAATCCAGACTCATATGGATGGGTCTGATGCAGAGAATCCCTTCCCCGCTGGGAATATGTCGGGTGAGGGAGCTATAGGAGTAGCAGGGGTTCCTAGTTCTAGGGCAGAGGAAATCCAACCCTTAACACCCTTTCTGGTGGATTCCAGTCCCTTTGCTGGAAGAGGGCTTCTGAAGAAGAAACACACACTCAACTCACAGATACCTGTGGGTCCTGTGCTGTTCCAGCCCAGTAGGTCAGAGTGCAGTTGGTTTGCCCCTCATTGGCCGGCAGCTCCTTCCCTTCCAGACTTGGCCTCCAGGCCCTGCCCTCCTTCACCAGCTGGTGCCTTCTCCTGCAGCCTTAACTCTCTCTGGCCCTAGAGGGCACTCCCTCCCTGGGAATGGAGCAATCGGGCTCCAGCTTCCCAGAGAGAAGAGGAGAGCCCAGGATCCCTAACTAAAGATGGAAGAGAAGGGGAAGACAGAGGGCCAAGGCTCTGAGCCAGCTCCTTTCACAGCACCTGGAGAAATGCAAGTGGGACCAGACTCAGGCTGAGAGCACCTGGGGACCCGCCCTGTGAATAAGCTCAGGTAGCTCCTCCCTGGGAAAGGGCAAGATTGCCCAACACTCCAGAGAGCTCGTGCTCAGCCCCAGCCTGGGAAAACATGCAGGGCCTGATGGCTGTGTCTGCAATACCTAGAAACTTCCTGCCTGTGAAGATCTGCTCCGGGAGTCTGAAGACTGTGGATTGCAGTCACTCACCAACACTCCCTTTCACCAGGGTCATGAGTAGGGTCAGGATGGACAGAGAGAAACTGGGAGGTACAATCTCAGGAAACAGCTCACGATGCCTAATTCCACCCCAATAGCCTACATGTCTGCCCATCATCCTCCCACCTGCCACTCCCCACTGTCGGCATCAAGCTGCCACCCACCACAGAAAGCCTCCCACAAACCAAGAATCTCCAGCTCCTCGCCATGTTCCAGTTGTCACCTAATCTCATTCCGCATTCTGCAACCTGAACTTCCAGGCCTTGAATATTCACAGAGGAAATTCTGCATGACACTTTCCAAGAACACAGTGGGGTGCAGTCTTCACGGGGACCTGCAGAGCCTCTCATGGGGCAGCCTCCCTAGACACTGAGGAAGTGCCCTGAATCCAGAACAGTTGCTCTCAGTGAGCTGCAGTCTCACTCTCAGCCCCAGCTCCCCAGGAGCGCTCTCTGGATGGGGCCCCTTGCATGCACCAGGTCTACCTGGCATTCACCCCAGTCATGCACCCAGACCCAGGCTGGAGCTGTGTGATGAGCAGGGGCTGCTAAGCTCTGTCCTGGGGCAAGGATCAATGTGAGGCAGAGCCAGAGACAGAGATGAAGGAGACCAAGAACTGGAGCCTGGCACCAGCACTGTAGGGACCCTGGCGATTTCCCCAGCCTGGCAGCATGCTGTTTCTCCATGCCTGTAGCTGGCTGCCCATCCTAACCGAGTAGAACAACTCTCAAAATGAGAAGGTTTCTGGGCTTGCATCCAGGGCACCAAGGACTTGAGGAGACTCGGTTCCCCTTTTTGGAGGGGTTTGGGGAGGGAAAGCCCAAGGAGAGGTTGGGTGGTGGCTGCCTAAGGGGACCACCAGATTCTCTGCCCCATCCAGAGACCAAGAGATTCTTGAGGACTAACAGACTGAAGGCTGTCCGGGATGAGGGCATCAGGAGGGAGGAAGAGAGCAGTGTGGGTCGTCCCTCTCTGATTCCATGAACTCAGAATCCCAAGAGGACCTCCTAAGTCCTGAATTATCCGGCCCCCAGCCCCATCTCACTCCACACTGCCAGAGCAGGCTCCCAGTGCTCTCTGCCCTACCTACCACCATCTCAGGACCCTTCCCAAGTGCCCAGCCTCACTCCCTACCTGCGGCCAGAGGCTCCACTTCATCCCGGCATCTTTGGAAAAGGCTCCGTGACTAGTCGGGACTGGTAGAGTCTCAGAGTCTCTCTTCTCCATTCTAGCACCTGACATGAATTGTAATTATAACTTCCTCAAGAGAGTTCCCAAGTCTATCTCTTTACCTGCCTTTAATAATATCGTTGTTTATATTTACTTTTTTTTTTTTTTTTGTCCTCTGTCTTAAGCTTCCCTCCAGTTGTGAACTTCACAGAGGTGGAAATTATACTTTACTCTGTAGTCTCGGGGCTTAGCGTAGTGTCTGGCATAGTGCTGACACACGTTAGAAACTCAATAAGTATTTGCCAGATAAAGAAGGAAGGAAGGAAGGAAGGAAGGAAGGAAGGAAGGAAGGAAGGAAGGAAGGAAG